ATAGATTTTTCGAAACCTAAAGGAGAATAATCATAAATACAATCAAGTATAACTTGATCGCTATTATTTGCAACTACGGTCGAGTGAATCGACTTATTTATCCCTATTTTACTACTACTACTTTCTTGGCTCTTCTTCCCATCTTCATATTTTCCCAATCGAGCCAAGAACTCTTCGTATTCTCTATTCATCTTCACCGGCCACTTCGAGGTTGGCTCCCTCTTTGATCATGATGAATCCTTTCTTCTCATTCATCTCTAGGAAACGCTCCTCATGTAACTTTGAATTGAAATCTTCGATAGTTTCGAAAGTGAATGGTTGAGCGAGCGCTAAGTTTTGTAGTGCCCGACCAGCCTGAGATACGAATGTTACAAATTCGTGCTGGTCTCCTGGGATTACTTCGAGGTGTCCGTCTCAATTCCACATAAATAATTTCTGATGGGCTGTCGAAGGCACGACTCCTACTCCATGAATCCACTTTCTGCCAAGTAATGCATTGAAATTGGCATGAGACTGGACTACAACAAATACAGTAGGTCTCGAGTAAGTGCCCACTTTCACGTCTAAGGCAATCATACCTTCTGAACTTGATGTTTTTCCGCTAAAATCGGAGATCATAATATTATGCTTAACTAGGTCTTTTAACTCAACGCCAAATTTCTTTAGCATAGTAATTGGCAGTATGTTCACTGCTGCTCCACCATCGACAAGGACTCTATTCACCATCTGTCCTTGAATCTCGATATTCAATAGTAATGGTTTCAAATGGAACCTCATTTCTTCTGACGGAGGATCAATAAAGGCAGCATCTCTATGAGGTACTTCGCATGAGGTTTGTGTAACCCATGTTACCTTTGGTTTTATGTTTTCTGAGTAGAAATCATCCTCCCGATCGGCATCACTCTGTTCTTGGTAGTCTTGGTATTCACTAACATATTCTGCCGGTAGTATCGAGATCACTCCGATTTGATGTTTATCCCAGGTACCCTCATTCTTATCATCGAAGAATTCTCTTGCATATCGACTCTCCATCGGTGCAATATTCTCTCCAAAACTTCTATACTTATTCCAATAAGGAATCCTTCCTCCTCTTCTCCAGGGTCTTCCTCGGAATCTCCTTTGGAATGTTGGAAATCCAATGTTCGATCCTTCATCATATGACAATCTCTCGAAAACATCACTGTTCTGAAGCCTACTTCTTCTTCCTCGAGAAGGATACATCTCTCTTCTGACCCATTGCCTTTGATTTTCGCTAACACCAGAACCAACAGATTTCTGTTGACTTTCTTCGATCATTGGTTGGGCCGTCTGATCCACTTTGTCATTTTTCCTCTTATTTTTGCTCTCGATCTTCTTTATCTGTTGTAATTTGAAAGCTTTAGCAGCCGATTTATCGAACACCGCACTGCATCGTGGGCATAACGATACATCTTCGTCTTTTTCTTTCTTTCTACTCAAAAACTCAATGAGGGAATCTCCTGGTTGAGGGTAGATCTCTTTTTCGAACTCCTTCTCGAATTCACTCAGGTCAAATTTCATATCTTCCTCAGATACATCCATCCTAACATGTTTAGGGTCAATGTCTTCAGTAACATCGACCATGCCTATAAAGGCCGAATTTGTCATTCGGACATCATCAGTCATGCCCGTTTGGGATTCGAGGTATCCTACTTGAGCCTCGAAGGGACTCGTGTCGACTTTCATTGTCATTTCCTCGAATTTCAGCCTTCCTTGGTCGATCGCATCTTGGATCGTGTTCCTGAAATGTATACAATTGTTAGTCCAATGTCCATAAACATTATGAAATTTGCAATATTTTCGACCATTCCTTTGTCCTGCAGAAGGCAGTTTATGATCATCACTTAATTTAATCTGTTTATCTTTCAGTAATATATCGAAAATTTTATCAGCCTTTGTCACATCGAAAGTATATGTTTGATTTGCCATCTTATCTTTTACTTCATTCTTTTGTAACATTTTACAGATATAAGGAGCTCCTACTCTAAGCTCTGCTATGTTCACTTTCTCATCGACAGTCTCATCCACATCATTTTCTGTCGTGGAATCTGTTTCATATACATCATTTATATATGCTATTCTTTCTTTCTTCGCTGGTTTCTCAAATTTCTTATATCTTTGTTTCTCATATTCGATTTGTTCTACTCTTCTCACTTTATCAGCTAACTGAGCCATATCATTCAATGGTAAATTGACTAACTTTTTCCTAATCGAGAATTCTAAACCTGCGGAGGCCATTCTGACTAATTCATATTCAGGAATTTGAGTAAAACATCTCGATTTCATTTGTCTAAATCGATTCAGATAATCATCTATGCTCTCATGATTATATCTCTTTATATTCATCAAGTCGATGAGACTAACTTGAGTTTCTCCTCTAAAGAATTGCTCATGAAAATTTCTTTCCAATTGCAGCCAATTATGTATCGAATTGGGTGGTAATGACGTAAACCAAGTAAAAACATTCTTAGTCAAAGAGCTAGGGAAATATTTCATTTTTAGTTCTTCACTCATAGCTAAGTCCCCGCATTCGATCTGATATCGAGCCACATGCTCGATAGTCGATTCACCAACTTCTCCAGCAAATTTAGTAAATTTGGGTACTTTATATCCTCGAGGCAATTCTATTTCGAGAATCGCATTTGGAAAGGGAGACACAAAATATGTCTGATTGGGTGGTCTAAATTCTATCCCTTGGAAATTTGCCCTTTGTCCTAACATGTAATTAGTTTGCAAGTTATTTTGATTATACATGTTTTGAAATCCCTCATTCATATTTCCATAAATATCATTTCTCCCATGTTGATGTTCATTCCCTATTTGTTGACCATTATCCCGATTTCTTCTCAAAATATAGGGAGGATTAACGTTAATATTCTGGTTACCATGGTTTTCTACCCTTGTTTGTCGAGGTATTGCCAATGCATCCCCGATACGTGACATTTGATCTGCTAATATCTCGAAACTAGCAGTAGTGTTTTGAACTAACGGGTTCAAGACTGTAGTCAATTGTTGGGATAACATATTCACCATCTCAAAATTGCTCTCGTCCATTTGTTGTCTAAGTATCCCTAATGAGTTACTGGATATCCCAGTACCAGTATTTTCGATATTATCAAAATTAGATCGATGATAATCCCTATCGAACGCATATCTCCCATGATCTAAGTTTCCCCTCTGATCTAGATTTGGAGGTATCTGTTGTGTGCCTACATTCTGTCCACTCCCTGAATTTTGGGGGATTGTTAGGTTTTGAGATACCCCTAAATTTGGAGAGACTCCAAAATTTTGTGGCATTCCTAAATTATATCTCCGAATTCTATGTACTGATGAAGTACCAGTCCCATTCAAATTATTGAGCGAAAACCCAGGCGGTCTTACACTCGCATATGGCCCTGCATATGTTGTTGTAAGGTTTCCCATAGTTGGCGTACTGTTTAGTACCGCCGTACTAGATCCTACTTGGGTATTTGCTAAAGTACCTGAATTTTGTTCATTACTCACAGGTATCGACATAGTTGTCGATATTACAGGCATACTCCCATTGTGCCCTTGCCCCCCAGTGTTTGGCGGAGGCGCACTATTCAGACCCTCATTATTGTTCTGGTTATTCGATGAACTCTGACTCATTCTCACAACTCTACCACTCCTTAATCTCATACACTTTCGAACTAACCAATTTTGTATTTTTCAACACAAGACTCCCCCTACCTGGCGCGCCATTTTGTTTCTGGTGGATTTTCGATCGATTTCAGTTTAAGGGTATTTTGGTCTTTTAATCGAAATCCTCCCACGTAAGTTCTTTTTGCTTAGGCTAGCAGTTTGACTTTCAATCGAAAACAAGTATGAGAATCGAAGATTACAAGATATCGAAAATGCTGTTTTTTGATGTTTTGTGTTCAAGGTATCGAAAGCAGTAAAAGTATAGAATCGAGAATCTTGAATATTAAATTGCGAGAAAAAGTAAAGTGCATAAAATAAATCCCAAATTTGAAATGACAGGAAATCGAACACAGTACAAATATGAATGACAAGAAATCGAAATTGCATAAATTAAATAACCCCAAAAAATCGACGATTTTAATCGAAATGTGTGAAAACGTAAATGGCAAGGAAATTAAACAATAACAATGTAAATGACGAGAAATCGAATTTGCAAGAAAGGTAAAAGGCAATAAAATCGAAGATGCAGTAACATAAAATTCAAATACAAACTTAAATTGCACGAATCGAAATGACAAGAAATCGAAAGTACAGAAACATAAAATTGCTGAATTTAAGTTGCATCAAAGTAAATTACCAAGGAAAATACAGAAAGCGGTAAATGTACTCAGTGAGCAGGGAAATCCAGATTGTCAGAAACTTCATGTTGTTCGTCGTTTCTCCGGTAGACTTTTCACTACTGATTCTGTTCTCTGCCAATTTCTTGCTCCGCCCCCCTTCCTTCCTCGTTTGCTCTATTTATAGGATCTCTTTTAAGCCTTCCAGGAACAGTTAATAAGACTGCTACCACGTTCTTTCGTGCATGACGGTTTCCTTTTCTGCAGTTGCCCACGTTCTCACGATCCTCAACTCCTTCCATGGTCCCAGAACTGCTTTCTATACGTGCATTTGACTTATTCTTCTGTGGTTTGTCCAGGGTTTCGATGTCCGCGTTGGTTTCCTTTACTCCCGATTATATGTTTTTTGAGAACTTCGAATTGATTCATTTTTAACCTTGGTCTCATGTGACTTAGTTTTTATTCGACAACAGGCATTTGGTTATCGTTCACTCGATTCTCGATTGTACTTCTCGATACTATATGCTATGTTCTTCCAATTAGACTTCGATTGAATCTTATCGAGTCACATTCCTTTTCTTCATTTTCGATTGCTTTTCTCGATTTGTCACTAACAACCTCACTTCGTTGATTGAATTGAAAAATATTGAATATTTGCATTTAACGTTTAGTGATTTCCGTGACAGTCAAATACCAGAACACATGGACTCCTTCAAAAATTTGAGATATCTCAATCTATCATGGTCCACTTTTGCTGGGAGTATTCCTTATGCACTGGGAAATCTCTCAAAGTTGGAGTATCTTGATCTAAGTAACAGTTATCGTCTTCGTGGAAAAATTCCCTCTCAACTAGGGAAACTTACAAATTTACGATATTTAGATCTAAGTTACAATTATCTCCATGGAGAAATCCCTTATCAACTTGGGAATCTATCACAATTGAGGTATCTTGTTCTTTGGCAGATTTCACTTTCTGGAGCAATACCTTTTCAGGTTGGGAATCTTCCTTTCTTGAAATTTCTTAGACTTGGAGGTAATTTTGATATATCAATCAAGGATGCAACATGGCTCTCTTCACTCTCTTCATTAGATACTCTTGGCCTGATGTTATTGCCTCTTGACTCCTCTTATCACTGGCTAAAAACGATTCGAGAGATTATTCCTAACTTACGAGAGTTGAGATTAGTTGGTTGTAGTCTTTCAGATGATAATATTTCATATTTGTTTCATTTTCATTCCGACCTTTCCACTTCTCTTTCCTTCATTGATCTCTCTGATAATATGTTGACATCATCAACATTTCAATTGTTGTTCAACTATAGCCTTCATCTCCAAAAGCTTTATCTTTCTCATAATAATATTGTCTCTCCATCACCTCACTATCCAAACTTTCCTTCTCTCATGACCCTTGATCTCTCCGAAAACAATATGACATCATGGATATTTCAAGGAAATTTAAACTTCAGCTCCAGACTACAAAATCTTCATCTACAAGATTGCGGTCTTACTGATAAAAGTTTTCTTTTGCCATCCGCTTCAATAAGAACTTCCTCATCTTCTCTTGTCACCCTTGATCTCTCTGATAACCTGTTGAAATCATCGACTATATTTCACTGGGTTTTCAACTTTACCCCCAATCTTCATAGCCTTAGGCTTGATCGTAACACGTTAGAAGGTCTCCTTCCAAATGGATTTGGGAATGTAATGAACTCTCTAGAAGTTCTTACCCTATCTTCCAACAACCTGCAGGGTGACATCCCAGCTTCTCTAGGTTATATATGTACATTGCATGATTTAGAACTTAGCGATAACAAATTCAGTGGGAAAATTTATAGTTTCATTCAAAATTCTTCATGGTACAACAGACTAGAGAATCTAGATTTATCTCATAACTGGATTTCTGGCATGGTTCCTAATCTGTCAAGTTTTACATCATTGAGTAGCTTGGATATTTCCCATAATCAGTTAAGTGGAGAAATACCGAAAACCATTGGGTTGTTACAGGAATTGGAGTTTCTTAACTTAGAGGATAATTACTTAGTGGGTGATATCAATGAATTGCATCTCATAAATTTGTCTAAATTGGAGATGTTAGGCTTGACAGACAACTCTTTGTCCCTAAAGTTTGCTACCACCTGGGTTCCACCTTTCCAATTACTTCGTTTGGGACTATCTGCTTGCAAGTGTGGTCCTAGTTTCCCAAGTTGGCTCCAAACTCAAAGTCACTTGGAGTTTCTTGATATTTCTGATGCTGAGATTGACGACTTTGTGCCCGAATGGTTTTGGAATAAGTTACAGTCTATAAGTCAGCTGAACATGTCTCACAACAGTCTTAAAGGTACAATTCCAAATTTACCAATCAAGCTTACTGGTGGTTATGATACAGAATTTATATATCTAAGTTTTAATCAACTTGAAGGTGAAATTCCTGCTTTTTTATCACAAGCTTACATATTGGATCTATCCAACAATAAGATTTCAGATTTAAACATGTTCTTGTGCCGAAAAAGCGAAACCACAAGGATGCAAACTTTGGATTTATCAAATAATCAAATAATGGGACAACTGCCTAGCTGTTGGGAACATCTAAAAAGATCATTAAACTTTCTTGATCTCAGAAATAATAAATTGTCAGGGAAGATTCCACAGTCTATGGGTACTCTTGTTAATTTGCAATCTTTGGTTCTACGAAACAACAGTTTAATTGGAGAGTTACCATTCACATTGACAAGCTGCACTAAATTAGTTATATTAGATGTGGGTGAAAATTTTTTGTCTGGTGCTATACCTTCATGGGTTGGAGAAAATCTACAACAACTGGAAATTTTGAGCTTGCGAGTAAATAACTTATCTGGAAGTGTTCCAGTTCATCTCTGCTATTTGAGGCAAATTCGTCTCTTGGATCTTTCAAGGAATCACTTGTCAGGAGGAATTCCAACATGTCTAAAGAATTTTACTGCAATGATGGAAAGGGGAGTTGTTGCAATTGGACGAGAAATGTCCCCAAAAATGTCATTTCAATCGAATTCATATGGATCGCGTGATACTGAGATTTTAATCATGTGGAAAGGTCAGGATTATGAATTTTGGAATCCTGAGTATCTTCTGAAGAGCATTGATCTCTCAGGTAATGAATTGACAGGGGAAATACCAAAAGAGTTAGGGTATTTACTTGGATTAGTTTCTTTGAATTTATCAAGAAACCACTTTCATGGAGAAATTCCTCGCGAGATCGGAAATTTAGATTCGCTAGAATTTCTAGACTTATCAAGAAATAATTTTTCAGGCAATATTCCTTCTACTCTTTCCAACATTGATCGTCTTGGGATGTTAGACCTATCACACAATAATCTCAGTGGAAGAATCCCTTGGGGAAGGCATTTGCAAACCTTTGATGCCTCTAGTTTTGAAGGAAATATTGATCTTTGTGGAGAGCAACTTAAGAAAAGTTGTCCAGGAGATGAGAAAACAATACAACCTCAAGAAGTAGCAATTGATGGTGTAAATGGCAATTCAGCTTTCTATGGAGCATTGTACATAAGCTTGGGACTAGGATTCTTTACAGGCTTTTGGGGTTTACTAGGGCCAATTCTACTTTGGCGACCATGGAGATTTGCTTACATCAGATTCTTGAACAGACTGGTGGACAATGTACTTGTAACGGTTGAAATTAATGTTCCCAAGTTCAATCGGTGGCTCAAAGCCTAGCAGGTACTTAATAATTCCAATTCTCTTTTTCTTTTAATTAGATTCTGAATCTAGTAATAGTGATTCTCAAAAACATTATTATTTTCGTGCTGTAAAGAAACTGTGAATGGTATGCTCTGTTTATAGAAGTATTATAGTTTTCAGACAACTTTATCTGATGTTAAGCCTCTCAAAATACGCTTATAGTTACATACTTCTTTGGCTAGGCTAGATTTGCAGTTTCATTTAATTTATTTCTAAAAGTCAGTTTCTAATTGATCTCCATCATGACATGACTAAAGTAAATATTCTGAATTGTATCACCAATTTGCAGTTTATGGCAGATTAAGTTCAAAACTTCTGAGATGAAAGCTGCATGGATATGTAGGATATGTAGTATTGAGGTTTACAATGTAATGCATAGTTACTGTTTCAATAAGCTTTGTTTATTTGGATGTCTTTAGTGTGTAATGTATGCGTGGTTTATTTTATTTCTTTTTATGTTAAGACAATTAGTGTTTATATATAATGTGAAGGTTATGCTTTCTATCTCGAGTTTGAGTCTTAGAGATGTAACTATGTTAAATGTTACGAGGGAAAGAGAGTTTTGTGGCTTAATTCATAGCCATGTTCAAACAAAGAATACTATTACTACTTCTGTCGTATATTTTACTTAGCACAAAAGAAAGAAAATAGTCTTCTGTCATAATAATCTTAGTGTGTAAACAAAAATTTTCTCTGGTACTGCTCTGTCTCAGAGATTTTATATATTGTTACAAAATGAGTCTGTCATCGCAGCAATAAACTAATCACAAATATGATTCGCTTCACTTAATCAACATGATGCCAAATTAAGCAATTAAATCGCTTTTGGAGTATCAGAAGATGAAGATTCTCAATTATGTACCTGTATGATCTGTAATGTTTCTGAGTTTCATCTTAGCCCTTACTGATGCATGTTTTTATTATTGATGCTTTTGTTGCTTCTTTATATTGGAAAATATTTTTGAAGCTGTGAACATAAGATTAAATTACTCAAAGTATCATGTTAGACATAATATGTCTATTGTGAGTCATCTTGAGGCTTTGAATGTAAAACAAACTGGTTGTAAAAATGATTAAGGGATTACTTGATTTTTACCCATAGTTTAAGATTTTATTTCTAAGAAAATAGAACACAATTAATTTTAGGGTAAATATTAAAATAGTGTAGAGTGCTCAATTATTTAAATAGCTACTTATAATGATGTTCATGAAATCCAACTGGATGATAATTTTCTTTATAACTTGTTTAATATAGATTAGTGTTAAACTGCAAAATTATTTTCATATAACCATCGATTATATTATAACTGGTAAATGAACACAATATCCAACACAAATATATGAAAACAATACTTGGAGTTTTCAAAATTAGTACTTACTTGACAAAGAAATGACCCAGGACATTTTTGATAATGAGAAAACAGCAAAAGATAATTATAATAATAAGAAAACAGCAAAAGTAGTTATAATAATCGCAGGGGTTATGGACATTTTTTATAAGAAGAGCATCAACGTACTAAATTGTAATAGGAGAGAGTGGAATGATTTCATTTTTGCAAACTTAGAAATTAAATGAGATTCCATACCTTTCTCATACTGTAATTAAATGATTTCATTTTTGCAAACTTAGAAATTAACTTAAAGTGATCGTTTGTTTCAACGGTTCCTCCGTTGAAGAAGAAATGAAGACCTCAACTTGCATGGATTTATTATATTTAGGGTTTAGGGTTTTTAAGTCCAAATTGCACATAAACAATGGGACCCACATAACTTATATCGTGAAAAAAAAAAAAAATTAAATCACATGAATCACTTTAATTCTTGTATAATATAATCGATTATATAATATTTCATAATACATTATATAAAATCACGTAATCGATATGATTTTTATGACGAATTATACATAAATGTTTCTCATTTTTAGTTTATATTTATTACGAAATTAAAAATGTTTATATTAATTTTAGATTAAAATTATTCAGATAAGTTTTTTTATAAAGGAATGAAATTGATTTTTTTAAGTTAAAATTAGTTTATAAATAAAATAGTTATAAAAGTTGTCTTATATATACAATTTTATTTCTTATAAAAATTAAACCTAGGATCCCTCAAATATATATATAATATAACTTTTTACCTTCTCAATTTTTCAATTTTATAATAATTCATTTTTGTTTTATCATAAATTCGTTAATAATATTTTTCAAACGAAATACATTTTTAATTTATACATAAAAACATGTAGAAAAATCATATTGCTGTTTTTTAAAATAATTTATATAATTTAATATTATTTATAAATCATTGAAAAAAATAAATTTATAATAAAAATATTTTGATTATTTACTTATTTAATTTTTTAATTTATCAAATTATCTTTATTAATTAAAATATTTATATATATTTTAACTATTTTTCTATTTATCTAAATCTAAATGAGTGTTCAATAATACGTCAGTCAACTCTATCATTGAAAAATAGGGACAAGATCTTTTCAACGATTTTAAATTTTGATAACTAAATGGGTGAAGAATGAGTTAAATTATATTTCAACATGATTTGATAAAATAATATTTTTATAATATAGTATATTTATTATTATTAATATTTTAAAAAATAAAAATGATAAACATTACTTTCATATTATAATAAAAATTATAAATATAAAGTATATTAAAAAGTGGAAAAAAATAATTATTCAATAAAATAAAAATATAATAAAATAATTATTATTTAAAATTAATATAAATTTTATGAAATAAAAAAATGAAATTTTTTTTATAAAAAGTTATATTAAAAAATTTCATCATAATTTTATCTTTTTAATAAAATTATTAAGATAAAAAAATTGCATTAATTTTTCAGTTTTACCGATTTTATATTGATTTTTCTAATTTTATTTTAATTTAATTAAAATATAATTATTTAAAAATAACAAACCAAATTTTGTTAGTGGTTAGTATTTCAACTGGTTAAACCGAACTGCAAAACGATTAAAAAAATGTGATTTTTCCACAACGAATATTAATGTATTGATGTGTGTGACACGTTGAATTTTATAACCCTTAAGTTATTTTGGAAGACTTGAAAATTTAACCAATCAATGGATCCATTGATGTTGATGTTGGTTTCTTCCTTTTCTATGGAGGCATCACAATTAAACCTGTATTCGTGGGAACCAACCCATCCTCGCCTTAAGTTAGACAGGGAAAACCTGAGTTGACTGGGGGCGGAGGCAGGTTCGGGTTTTCCCCGCTTTAAAAAGTCGGGAGCGTGGGCGGAGATGGGTAATGCAATCCCCACCCCGACCCCGTCCCCGTCCCAACTTTAAATTTAAATTTTAAAATATTAATATTTTAAAAATATTTTTTTTCTTTTTCTATTACATATAAGGTCATTTTTTACATTTCACCAAATTTTTTTTCTTTTACCCACTTTTTTATTTTTTTGTCTTTTTTAATCTTTTATATCAATTAATTTATTACATTATTCTTTCTCTTACCATTCAGTTTTTCACATTTCCTTAATCTTTCACATCAATTTGTTTTTTTTTCAATCTTTTCAACTAATTTGATGAACACAAAGTTAATTTTTTTATTCTTTATCTTTTTGTAAATATTTTACATAAATCTTAGTAGTAACTAATATTATTTTATTTATAATTTATATTTATTAGGTTTTATTATGTCATTTTTTTTATCTTATTATTCTTATTTATCATATATCAAATTTTATCATAATAAAATAATTGTATTTTAAAGATTAAAGGAATTGATAATTTAAATTTTTATTACTTCGAACTAATTGAATAAGAATTAACTTATTAAATATTTCCTTATAAACTATATATTTCATATTTTTAAATGACAACTTAAAAATGAATTTAACTTATATATATAATCAAATGTTTGAATACAGTATTATAATAATAGTGTTATAAATATTCAAATATTTGAATACAATATTATAATAATAATAATATTATAAATAAAAAATGATTAAATATTTCTTTTGCATACATATTTTAATATAAATATAATAAATTAAAATATATATTTAATTAATAATAATTATAAATTATAAATATTTATTTATATATAAAAAATAGATAGTAAAATTAATTTATTACAAATGTAATTATCTTTTTAAAAATAATATAAATTGGGGACTGAACGGGGACGGAGATAGAGACTTAATTTCTAACCCGACGAGGATCAAGAACGGACATGGGGATGGTTAAAAAAGTCGGGCGGGGATCGGGAGACAAAACCCGCCACCGCCCGCCCGGTTGCCATGCCTATACACGTTGAATTTTATAACCCTTAAGTTATTTTGGAAGACTTGAAAATTTAACCAATCAATGGACAAACACTTGCGTGTGCATGCATTTGCCAACTCTACTTCCATGAAACTATCACTTAATAAATGTTATATTAAATGAAACTGTTTAAGCTTCAAGATATTTACCATAATTTTTAGTTTAGCTTTCTTAGTTATTGTCCAACGAATGATAAGTTTCAAGATTTTTTTAATGTATTAGATAAGATGATAATTTTACAAAATTTTAAATATTTTACACAATGAAGTGTTGATAAATATTTAAAAATTCAGTTAAAATATTGAAACTGAAAATATTTTAACATCTAATTATCTCTTTGGTGGATTTAAAACAAAGATGGGAAAAAATATGATAACATTTTCCCGTTGTCTCATTTTGTTGACATTTCTTTCAGTTTTGCTTTCATTTAGAAAATTCTATACCATTGAAACTTTCTTCCTTGCTTCACGTGGAAAGTCAATAAACACAGGGCGTAGAAATTATATGTCTCATTCATGCAGAATTATGGCAACTACTTAAAAACCCTGTGGCGTAGCATTCAATACATACTGCAAATCATAATTGGTAGTGTTTCTTCTTTTATTCATATCCAGTTCATAGCTTACCACAAATTTCATATCTGCCAAATTTTAATGGCCAGTTACTTTCTGAAAATATTGCTGGTAGTATTTGTGTGCTTTGTGCATACCAATGTTTCCATTCTGGGATTCAACTCGCCATCACAGACTTCACATGTCAAATGCTTAGAGAGGGAGAGACAAGCACTCCTCAGCTTCAAACAAAGTATTCAAGATTACCATGGCATGCTGTCTACGTGGAGGAACGATGACAATAGAAGTGATTGCTGCAAATGGGAAGGTATTGAATGCAACAATGAAACTGGTCACATAGTGAAGCTTGATCTTCATGGCTCAGAATCACACCTTTTGGCTGGTCTAATCAATATCACTTCATTGCTTGACTTGCAAAAATTGGAATATTTGGATCTCAGTTTTAGTGATTCTCTCGGTGGAACTCAAATTCCAAAATCCATCGGCTCCTTTCAAAGCTTAAGATATCTCAATCTTTCATACTCAAGTTTCACAGGAAAAATTCCTTTTGAACTGGGAAATCTCGCGTTGTTAGAGTATCTTGATCTTCAAGCAACTTATCTTCATGGAGCAATCCCTTCTGAACTAGGGAAGCTTCCAAGTTTACGATATCTAGATCTAAGTAACAATATTGATAATATCTATGGAGAAGTTCCTTGTCAACTTGGAAATCTCTTACATTTGAGGTATCTTGATCTTTCAGGAAATTCCCTTTCTGGTTCAATTCCCTCCCAACTTGGAAGTCTGTCACACTTGAGATATCTTGATCTAGGAAATTCACTTTCTGGAACACTCCCTTTCCAGGTTGGAAATCTTCCTCTCTTGAATTCTCTTAGACTTGGTGGCAATTTGGATCTTACAATTAATGATGCAAAGTGGTTATCTTCTCTCTCTTCATTAAAAACTCTTGTCCTCGATTCATTTCCTAACCTTGGCTTCTCTCGTCATTTGCTCCAAATGATCAGTCCGCTAATCCAAAACTTAAGAGAGTTGAGTCTAGTCGACTGTCGTCTTTCGGATGATCATATTTCATCTCTGTTTCCTTCTCATTCCAACATTTCCACTTCTCTTTCCATCCTTCATCTCTCTTACAATATGCTGACATCATCAACATTTCAATTGTTGTCCAACTACAGCCTTAATCTCCAGGAGCTTTATCTTTCTGCTAATAACATTGTCTTGTCGTCTCCTCACTATCCAAACTTTCCTTCTCTTGTGATCCTTGATCTCTCTAATAATAACCTCAGTCTGACATCACCAATATTTCAAGGAAATTTCAATTTCAGCAGAAAACTACAAGAACTTTATCTAGGCAATTGTAATCTTACCGATGAAAATTTTCTTGTGCCAACCGTTTCAATTAAGGATTCTACATCTTTACTTGTCACCCTTGGTCTCTCCGGAAATATACTGAAATCATCGGCTGTATTTCACTGGGTTTACAACTTCACCACCAATCTTCAAAACCTTATCCTCTACGACAACTTGTTAGAAGTTCTCATTCCCGATGGATTTGGGAAAATAATGAACTCTCTCAAAGTTCTTCAACTTGGATCTAACAAACTGCAAGGCGAGATTCCGGCTTCCCTTGGGAACATATGCACATTGCAGGAATTACACCTTAGCCATAACAACCTGAGTGGGGAAATTTCTAGCTTTATTCAGAATTCTTCATGTTTTACATCTCTGAGCATATTAGATCTTTCCAATAATCAGTTAACCGGAGAAATACCAAAAAGCATCGGGTTGCTTTATGGGTTGCGGTCTCTTCACCTTGAGGAGAATTACTTGGAGGGTGATATCAATCAAATGCATCTCACATACTTGTCTAAATTGATAGACTTGGACTTAACCGACAATTCCTTAGCTCTAAACTTTGATTCTACCTGGATTCCACCCTTCCAACTATTTAATTTGGGGCTAGCTTCTTGCAAATTGGGTCCTAACTTCCCAAGCTGGCTTCAGTCTCAAATTCGCCTAAGCTTCCTGGATATTTCTGATGCGGGGATTCATGACTTAGTACCAGATTGGTTTTGGAACAAGTTACAGTCTATAAGTGAGATGAATATGTCTTACAACAGTCTCAAAGGTCAAATTCCAAATTTACCGATCAGTTTTGTCGATGATGATCCAGTGGTAATAATTCTAAATTCAAATCACCTTGAAGGTGCTATTCCTACATTTTTGTCACAAGCTGGAACATTGGATCTGTCAGAAAATAATATTTCAGATATAAATACATTCTTGTGTGCAAGTAGAACAACAAAAAACATGCACACTTTGGATGTTTCAAATAATCAAATAATGGGACAACTTCCGGACTGTTGGGAACATCTAAGTTCACTAAAATTTCTTGATCTAAGAAATAATAAATTATCTGGGAAGATTCCACAGTCCATGGGTAATCTTGATAAGTTGCAAGTTTTGGCATTAAGAAACAACAAATTTATTGGAGAACTGCCACAAACATTGATGAACTGCTCTAGTTTAGCTTTATTAGACGTGAGTGAAAATTTATTGTCTGGTTCAGTACCCTCATGGATTGGGGAAAGTGTGCAACAATTGAAAATCTTGAGCTTGCGACGAAATCTCTTCTTTGGAAGTGTTCCTGTACAACTCTGCTCTTTGAGCCAAATTCAAGTCTTGGATCTCTCAAGGAATAAGTTGTCAGGAGAAATTCCAACATGTCTGAGAAATTTTACTACATTGATGGAAATGAGCGTCATTCCTAGGGAAATTGTAAGGGAACGAAAAATTTCATCTCTAGAGTCTTATGCTGATATTTATGACTCTTACTTGCTAATGACTTGGAAAGGTCATGATTATGAGTTTTGGAATCCAGAGGGTCTTCTAAAAAGCATCGACCTTTCAAGTAATGATTTAACAGGTAAAGTACCCAAAGAGATTGGATATTTACTTGGATTGGTTTCTTTGAATTTATCAAGAAACAACTTTCATGGAGAAATTCCTTCTGAGATTGGCAATTTAAGTCTGCTAGAATTCCTGGACTTATCAAGAAATGATTTCTCTGGCAATATTCCTTATACTCTTTCCAACATTGATCCTCTTGGAGTGTTAGACCTATCAAACAATAATCTCAGCGGAAGAATTCCTGGGGGAAGACATTTGCAAACCTTTGATGCCTCTAGTTTTGAAGGAAATATTGATCTTTGCGGCGAGCAACTTAACAAAAGTTGTACAGGAGATGAGAGAACAGTACAACCTGAAGGAGTAGCAATGGATGGAGAAAATGGGAATTTAGGTTTCTATGGAGCACTATACATGATCTTGGGACTAGGATTCTTTACAGGCTTTTGGGGTTTACTAGGGCCAATTCTACTTTGTCGAGCGTGGAGATTTGCCTACGTCAAATTCTTGGACAGAGTGGTGGACTATATTCTTGTAATGGTTGAAGTGAACGTTGGCAAGTTTCATCGGTGGCTCAAAGCCTAGCAGGTACTTGTTAATGTTTTTTTCTCTGCTTTATTAGTTAAACATGGATAACTCTGTTTCATTTATCCTGGCACCAATCGTGTTGTTTAGGTTTTACTCTTAAAGTTTTTAACTTTACTATTGCTACTTCCAAAAAGTACTTATATTGTTTTATTTGTATGTCTTCCACGCTCATCAATTTTTAACATTGAGTTTATCCAATTATTTTTTTTTCTTTTAATTATTTATACATTCTGAATTGTGTCACAAATCTGCAGTTTATGGGAGATTAACTTGCAAAGTTGTATGCACGATGAAAGAGGCATGACTACTGGATTGAGGTTCGCAATGTAATGCAAAATCAGTGTTTCAAAAATTTAAGCTTATCGAGGATTAGCTTCAAAATTTCTATATGGGATGAAGGTTCCGTGACATTCTGGAGGTAGGATATATGCAGTATTGAAGTTTACAATGTAATGCAAAATCACTGTTTTAAGAAAAATATAGATTTGATTTCTTTTATAATACGCTCTACAGTTACTTTGTTTATTTTCTTGTTATGTCAACACTTTTTAACATATAAAACGTTAAGGATTTGCATTTCATTTTGAATTATGAAGCAGCCACCTTAATCTGACTAATATATATCTTGACAGACTAATAAGTGATTTAATCAAATATTTAAAGAATATATTAGTAATAATAATAATAATAATAATAAAAATATAATATATAAATTTAATTTAAATTTTAAATTACTTTCCAATAGAGGTTGCATGACTGAAACAATTTGTTGAAGGTGGATCTTTACTGATACAGAATACAATGACGTCTCTGATTTTCTAACAAAGAGGAAACAAATTATATTGAAGTTAACTAAATATATAATTAGTCTCCATTATCATTTGGTGAAACAAGCATGCTTTGCCAAAACTTTTTGTCATGTCAATTTCTGTAACTACTACTTTCATATCACGTAATGCAAAGTTTCTCCATTAAATAAAAGAAACCTGTTAAAATTTAATATAATTCCTATTCATTTAAAACTATTTTAAAGAAACAAACTATTTTCTTTGAACGCTCAAGCTTTTCATTTTAGCTGGAAACTTAGTAAGATGATAAACTTACTATTGAGCCGTCCTATCAAATTTACTACCCAAATTTGTAAGTGTCAGCATAAAATTGTAGATATCAAAATGATTTTGGTTGCAACAAAATGATTTCTTTTAGACAAGAATGAGAGTATTACTATTCATCATCATATTGTAGTCCTTCTTGGTTCAAACAAAGCTGTTCTTTTTAAAGAATACATATGGTTAATAACAAAAAAAATAAAAAATTATCCCACTTCATGTTATAACACATTACTTAAACTTGAACTGATTCAGTACATTGATTGTTCTTAACTTGTCCACAAACACTTTTTGGGCCCATCCCCTGCCATCAACTGTCAGATGATTCAGCTTTAACCCCAATTGGTCTTTCATAAACTTGTGTCATAATTAGCGACAATCTCACAGTTCAAATAAAAATTCAGATAAAAAAAGAAACAAGGAATAAAAAAGTTAAATCATGATTATCTCACTAAAATTATTACGCTAAAATTATTCAAAGAAATTTGCAATTAATTGAAAGATTAACACGAAGAGACAAAAAGATTCGAAGTATTAAAGTTCGAAACATGATAAAAAAATTTAAGATATAAAGAATACAAGAATCTAAGACAATTAATGAATATTCAACAAATTATTGGATATTGCTAATAAGATAAAATTATTAGGTAAAAAATTTCCTGATTTCAAAATAATTGAGAAAATTCTAGTAATTGTGTTAGAGAGATATAAAACATTTATTACTTCAATGAAAAATACAAAATATTTGTCTAATATTACTTTGACAGAAGTGTTACATGCTTTTCAAGCACAAGAGAAAGAAACATTGATGAATGGAGATCATGATGCTGTTGAAGGTTCTTTACTATATCATGGTAAAGGTTCTCTCTAAGCCAAGAACATAAAAGATACAAAATCATGTGTCTTCTCTGTTTGTTCTTATTGCAAGAAAAATAATCATCCACATAATAAGTGTTAGTGGAGACCCGATGTGAAATGTCACAAATGTAGTAAAATACGACATATAGAAGAATATACAAATCACAACCAATAGAAGTTGTCAAGGTTGTAGTGGATGGAGTAAAAAGAGAAATTCTCCTTGCAACAACATGTTCTACAATAAACAAATACACATGTTAACTACTAGTGCAGAAAGACCCTTTTACGTCACCTAATTCTCGTCGAATCCAAAAATAACCGACTTAAAAAAACACGATGGTAAGTTTGTAAATATTGAGTGAGACTTTTACGTAGAACCCATAAAGGGGTGACGTAAAATAAGTCTTTTACGTCACTCCTTTATGGGTCCGAAGTTAAAAACTGGACCAGTTTTTACGTTGGACCCATAAAGGTCCGACATAAAAGACCTCTTTTACGTCTGTCCCTTATGGGTCCGATGTAAAAGTCGTGTTTTATTTTATTCCTGCATCACTCTCTTGTCTCGCGCAACAAGGGTTTTTTAGAATGATGACAAGAACGACGACAACAACGATGATCAGCTCCTCTCAAGGTACATTTCAACCACAATGAGTGACGAAAATACTTTCATTGTGTCCCATTTGTGGTGGTTGACATTTCTCTCCGATTGAATTCGAGTTTTACAACACTTTTTGTATATTTGAGGTTAATGTTCTATGTGTCTCATCTCCTCTTTTATGTTGAAATTGAATGTTTCCACTGAATTGTTATTGATATTGAACTGTTATCGTTAGTGTTTTATGCGTTTGAATCCTACTTTTTTGTTGTTGTAATTTGTATATTGGGGGTTTCGTTTGTTATTGTTTTGTGTATTAGGGTTTTATGATGAAAAGAAAATGGAAAATGTTCGAAGCAAGATAACTTTTGACTCGGATGTCAGATTCAGACACACAACATATCAAAACGAAGAGAAAAAGGTAAAGAAGAGGGGACAAATACCTAAAGGGGATTTGTCCTAACAGTTTTTCCAAAATATGTTCCTAAGCACATGTAATACACAAAAGTTTATGCAGGTATAACCAAAGGTAGTTGTTTTCAATATTTGTTAAGTTCATTTACCTTTGTGTGTATTGCATGTTAACTGGAGTCAAATTAATATTTCAGGTAGTGGCGGATCTTGACCATTGATCTTTGAGGGGCCAAATAATATATTATTAATAAATAATAAATAAATATAAAAAGAAGAAAGAAGATGAAAGGATAAAATTGTAGATATATACTTAAATATATTAAATGATCATTAAGTTTAAGGGGGACAAAATCATAAATTATATGAGAGTTACAAACCGAGGAGGGATCGAGGAGGATAAAATTGTAAATATACAAGTAAATATATTAAATATTCATTAAGTTTGGGGGACCAAAATCATAAATTACACGAGAGTTACAAAACTTTGGGGGCCATGACCCCCTTAGCTCCCAAGAAGATCCGCCACTGGTTTCAGGTATTTTAAAATTCATTCATCTCCACTATCAGGACATGATATTACAAAATAATAAGGTTTTTTGTTCAATATTTCTAGTTTGTATTGTATTATGTACTTTAACATTTACGTAACTTAGTTTTTGTATTAACTTTTGTCTTTGTATTATATTGTATGTTTGAATTATTATCTATTGAAATATGATATCTGGACTGCAAGAAAAAAAAAGACAAAATTTACGTCGGTTACCCCTAGGTCCGACATAAATTTACATCTCCCGTATTAATATCGGACTTGTTTCTGACGTAAAAAGACTAAAATAACAGACGTAAAAACTCAATTTTGTACTAGTATAGTGGTTGTACAAATGACATGACTCGTGATCGAGAACTTTTCAAAGAGTTCAACGAATCTCTCATTTCTAAGATAAGAATTGACAATGAAAAACAAATGGATGTGAAATGTACAAGAACAATTACAGTTAAAAGTCATTTGGATGTCAAATTAATTTTTTATGTTTTATATGTTCCTGATATTAACCAAAATTTGTTAAGTGTTGTTTAATTATTAGAGAATGTTATAGAATGTTTTTTTAACACAAACTTTGTGTAATTAAAAATACAAATAATTTGAAAAAATTCGAAGTGAAAGAAAAAGTTTTACTTTAGATTTGATGAAAGAATATTTGACTACAAATAAAGATATATAAGAAAAGTCATAAGACAAACATGGTAGATATTTCTTGAAGAAACTTGATGTCGAGAAGAAAAATAAAAATGTAGATGAAAAACCTTCTATCGTCCTCCATCCAAGCATTAATGGTACTATTAAGAAGTTTTGAAAGAAAAAGATGAAGTTGATAAAGGAAGAAATATATTGAAGAAGAAAGTAAAATTGAATGAAGATGTGATCTCGTATAAAAAGGATGATGACAAGAATTACCTGTAAAATTTAAATATTTTTAGAAGTTAAATAAAAAATACCTTATGTATCAGTCAACTGATGCAACCAATGTGTCGAAAATTAATACGTGGTGAAGACAGTTTTTCCACAACGAACCACTGTAATGATTTGATTAATGTCTTAATTTTGTAACCCATTTTGTAGGGTTAGAAGACTTGGAATTAAACAAAAATAATGCATTCATTGATGTTGTTGTGGTGTCTCTTGTGTAGAGACCAAGACTTGCTGCGTAATATGGGTTCTGTGTGATGTATCCCTTTCTGTGACGCTGACAGTGGATTTGGACAGAAATTTAATTCAAAAACTAATGTACTGGTGTGATTAATGTGCCATATTTTAGGGTTAGAAGACTTGGAAATTCATCAAATAATGCATTCATTGATTTTGATGTGACGATCTTGTTAAGACCAAGACTTGGTGCGTGGGTGTATACGGGTTCTGCATGAAATAACCCTTTCAGTGAAGTTGATAGTGGAAGATTGTGTTTTGGGGTAGAAATTTATTTATTTTTTGTTGATTTTCAATCTTAATACATTAATATGAA